TGAATAAAAGAGTGTCGTTAACTCCCAGTTCTACCGCAAACGGTAACGCCTAAGTCTCCAAGGGTCGAGCTGCGTACGCCAAACTGCTGGAACTGTTTGTTAACCCTACTCGATAAAACAGATGAATCTGAATTCCCGTAATCTGTATTATCCTGAACTACGTAAGCTCTGATCTCTCATACCTGTTGAGAGTACGTAGGCACAATACTGACGTATTGGCGAGCCACCTTCCCCCGTAACCCGTAGTTAGCCGAACTACGTTGACTCTGATTTCTCATTCTCTGATGAGAATACGTAGGCATAAAGTGCGACGCTTTGCCGAGTCATTTTATTTTATTTTCAGAACAGTCTTGATAGGTAGATAGTAAATAAACCCGTCAGATAAACACAACAAGCGTGGATCCCATCGAGTACGATGGACGTGAGGGGTGGTAATACCTTCCCCTTGCGTAACCGACTCCAGAAACCTAAACAACGGTTGCGATGACCTTGTCTTATACCTTTTCGTCAGGTTTTTCCTGTCGTTTCCTTTCCCGTTCTGAGGGATAAATAACGAAAGGTGGCGACTCTTCTGTTTTGCCGGCACCTTATTTTCGTGGTAGCGACACTAGACAAGTTCTGGTTGAAGGAATCCTAGATGCCAGTGGTCTCTACTGTTTTCCTCATCTGCATTTGGAGTCTTCAAGGTCTCACAGTTTGCGTACCACATTGAATAAGTCAAGGCATGTTCAAAGTTACACTGTTATTCAGTCCTCCTATCAGCTAGATAGTTCCAAATCTAATACCTGTAATAATAGTGTGTTGTGGCATCATAGATTAGGGCATGCTAAATCTTCATCTGTTGCTCATATACTAAAACTGTGTAATATTTCTTATTCAAATAAACAAAGTAGTTTTTGCAAATCCTGTAATCTTGGTAAAGCTCATAGGCTTCATGCTCCTTTGACTCATCATGTATATAATAAGGCTTTTGATGTGATATATACTGATCTTTGGGGGCCTTCCTCTTCTACTTCTAGTACTGGGTTTAGCTATTACATTGCATTTGTTGATGCTCACACCAGGTATACCTGGCTGTATTTTCTTAAACAAAAGTCTGAAGCTCTGGGTGCATTCAAATTGTTCCACAAGTTTGTTCAAACTCAGTTTGGTCTAACAATTAAGTCAGTTCAATCTGACTTTGGTGGTGAATTCAGACCTTTCACTAAATTTCTGCAGGATCTTGGGATTACACATAGAGTAACTTGTCCTCATACCTCCCATCAAAATGGCTCAGTTGAGAGGAAACACAGAACAATTGTTGAGATGGGGTTGAGACTTCTTGCTCATGCATCCATGCCTCTAACATATTGGGATCACAGTTTTGCTACTGCTGTCTACCTCATGAACAGGCTGCCAATATCTCCATTGAATACACATTATTCACCTTTTCGTGCTCTGTATGGTAAGCATCCTGACTACACAACTATTAGAGTGTTTGGTTGTGCCTGTTATCCTCTACTTAGACCATATAATCAGCACAAATTGCAACTTAAGAGTCAGGAATGTGTATACCTTGGAGTCTCTCCTCAACATAGAGGTTTCAAATGCTTGAGTAGTTCTGGAAGAATTTACATTTCGAAGGATGTAACCTTCAATGAGCAACATTTTCCTTTTCCTCAACTGTTTAAGTCAAGTACTACAGCAGGTCATACTTTTATAAACAAGTCCCTTACCTGTCCAGTAGTTCTACCATCCAGCACAACTACCACATCATCACAGGTCACAACTGGCATCCCTTTACACTCTAATCCATCAGTTCAAAGCATGGATCCTACAACTACCCAACCCATCACTAGACACCTAGACCCTGTGGCAGTCTCAATGCCTGAGCAGTCTAATCAGTCAATTCTGGCTCTAGGCCCTCAGACAACATCTACTCCCTCACATGCTACTCAAGGTGATTTTGCAAGTACTCCCAGTCCTACTACCTCTCTAAAAGACATTTCACCTAGTACCTCTGCAGCAGGCCCTTCCACATCTTGTGATAATGCTGCTCAAATATCCTTAGACTTCAATAACAACTTTTCCAACTCAATGACATAATCTCCTCCAAGTCTTGAAGGTAATACACTACATTTTTCCACTACTGAGAATAGTTACCACTTTACTCCCTCAAGTTTTTCCTCACACCCCACATTTTCTAGTTCCACATCTGAGTCTTCTTGCTCTCCATCCACTCCCAGCCACAGACCTCAACCTTCACTCTTGGTTAATGATCACCCTATGATGACTCGAGCCAAGAATAGGAAATCCAAACCTAAGGCCTTATTGGCACATACTAAAGTTGAACCAACCACTATCAAACAAGCCCTATCTCACCCTTCTTGGTACACTACTATGCAGTCTGAATTTGATGCTTTGCAGGCAAACCACACATGGACTCTCACAACATTACCTCCTGACAGAAAAGTTGTGGGTTGTAGATGGATGTTCAAAATCAAGGAGAATGCTGATGGATCTATCAACAAATACAAAGCTAGGCTTGTAGCCAAGGGATTTCATCAAGAATATGGTTTTGACTACATCGAAACCTTCTCTCCTGTTGTTAAACCAACCACTATCAGAGTTATCCTCACCATGGCACTCACCCACAACTGGGATATCCAACAAATTGATGTCAATAATGCCTTTCTCAATGGCACCTTGACTGATGAAGTTTATATGACTCAACCTCCAGGTTTTGTCACAGATGACAAGAATCTTGTATGTAAGCTACACAAGGCAATATATGGCCTCAAACAGGCTCCACGGGCCTGGTATGAAAAATTGGCACAAGCCCTGATTCAGTTTGGGTTCACCACATCCAAGTGTGATAACTCCTTGTTTCTCTATTGCTCTAAAGGTACTGTCTTATATGCTCTAGTGTATGTAGATGACATACTAATCACAGGGTCTAATCACAAACTCATCCATACTTTAATTCACCAACTGCACACTGCGTTTGCGTTGAAAAAGCTTGGCAGGCCAAAATATTTTCTTGGCATTGAAGTGAATTTTCAAACAGATGGCTCAATGCTTTTGACACAATCAAAGTATATCAGAGATTTGCTATCTCGAGCAAACATGGTCAATGCCAATGGAGTTCCAACTCCCATGATGACCAGCTGCAAACTCAGTAAACATGGCACCTCAAAGCTGGCAGATCCTTCCTTCTACAGGTCTATTGTGGGAGCATTGCAGTATGTGACCTTAACCAGGCCTGACATTGCCTATAGTGTCAATAAGGCTTGCCAATTCATGTCTGACCCTCTTGATACGCATTGGTCATCGGTTCAACTAGCTGACACACTTACAAAACCCCTTGGATTGAAGCATTTTAGAATCTCAGACGCAAACTCAAGGTGACTAGCTTGGAAGGTCTCACCATAAGTTTGAGGGGGATATTAGAGATACAAAATGTAAAGAGTAATAACTCTACCCTTATGTAAAGCTTGGGTATATATAGGGTACCCCATTGTGTATATTGGTCAATAACAATAATATAATTCATTCATTCTTTTCCTTCTCTTTTCCTCTCAATCTCTTCTTCTTCCTCACAAACTGTAACAGAATTCTGTTACAAGATGAACCTCCATGTTCATCTTCACCAATCATAACAGTCTAATATAGTTCTCAAAATGCAATATCACTAAAACTCTTATGTTTTGTAAGTTATGTTACATTATGTTGTGGAATTAGAATTAATTGGTAATCGAGGGGCAGATCTTGCTGCGGTGAAAAAGGGTTGATCTATAAGATTAATACTCTAACGCTCAAGTTAGTAAGAGAGTAAAAAGTGATTATGAATAAAAATTAATTTAAATATTTGAAAAATGACGTGTTTTCCCTTTTAAATCTGATACATGATTACCAATTGAAAATGTAGGATGATGCGCGGATCGTGATCATTCGTCACATTGATATGAGAGCTAACAAAACTCTCTTAAACATAATCGTTAATTTCAAAAGAGAGAAGACCTACCGATTCTACATACTTCTACCGCTTCTACTTTACTATTGAATATTTCATCTATTGACTTTACAAACCACGTATAACAAAGTTATTTGTTAAATATATGTCTTTCATTCCTAGTTTAGAATCTATTCAATTTTAATTTTTTTCAAACAACAAAAAATTAAAAACCACTTCATGTATTTTCCATTCATTCAATTCTTCAACGATCATTTCTCTTTTTTCTTTTCAACATTTTTTTATTCAAACAAAGTATTAGAGTAGCTTTTTGTGTCCAATGCCATCTTAAGTATACTAATGAAAAAAAAAAGTTGCAACGATTAGATATTTATATTATACATCGACGAAGAGCCTTTCAATTATGTAATATCCGCCCAAAACATAGATCACTTAATTAATTTAATTTATATTAATATTTTTCATTTTTTTTATAGGTTAGATTTTTCTCGTGTATTTATATAATAAAATTTTAGTTTAGTATATAAGAAACACATTATTTTTTTTTTTTTTTTTTGTAAATAACACATAAATGATATTAATATTCTCTTTTTTTAGGGAAGGTATAAACAATCTCCATTATTTTTGGGTTCAAACTCACCTACCCCAAATATATAAAAAAACGAAACAATAAAAAATAATTTAACTACTTCGCAAAAAGAAAAACAACTTTTCTTCAACAGTTTAATTATCAATTAATTACAATCATTAATACCAGTAGATCCAAATCTAAATCTAAATACACCTTTTTTCCTTTACATACATTCACTTTGACTCGCTCAGTGTTTGTAGCAAAATAATCAAAACCACTCTTAACGCGAATTTCTGAAGTTGACGATTGTTCCGATTCTTGACTCCAGAACAAGAAACTTTCTCAAGTTGAAGTTTCTTACTTCACAAGAATTTCTGTTTACAACAAAGAAAACAAATGCATTAATCTTAACCGTTGAATTTGATTTCAAAACTAGTCTTCGTTTTTTCTTGTTGAGTTTGAAAACCTAAAGTATAGATGGAGAGTTACTTGAATCAGAATTTCGGAGATGTGAAGGCGAAAAACTCTTCGGAAGAAGCGCTTCAGAGATGGAGGAAGCTTTGTTGGGTTGTTAAGAATCGCAAGAGAAGGTTTCGATTTACTGCTAATCTTTCTAAGCGATTTGAAGCTGAAGCTATAAGACGTTCAAATCAGGTTAATTTGATATGTTGATTCTAGTTTACTTTCTTATTTTGGGAAATTTTTTAGTTCACGAATCTAAATGTTTGGTATAGTTCAAATTTAAATCAAGATCGGTTAAGATTAATGCATTTTTTAGTTCACGAATCTAAGAATAGCTTACTTGAATATCGGCACCATGAAAATTGCCAAGTTGTTTGTTCTCCCTTAGCTTTTTGTCTGCGAAAGAGGATTGGATTGATACTGGCTAGGGATTTTAGCAACTTACTTGCATTGATCCGTTGCCAATTTTCAGTTCCTTCCTTTTAATTCCCTCCATATTTTTCAGATTAGCTTCTCTTCCATGTTGCATTGGATATGAGATTCTGTCGGGACTTTATTGTTATAGGGAAATCATCAAACAATTATTGGTAGTGATATGTAATGTTAAAAAGCTGCTTGCTCTACTTAAGTTTGAGCAGATAACATTTCTATTATTGTCATAACATGGGTTTAGTGATTTTGAATTAAAAATCAAGTCATGGTAGGATTGGAATGTTCTTCGTCTCATGATCCTGGTAATTTCAGTATTACTCAAATAGCTTAACTCTGTCTGGAGAAAGGATATGATTGTTTAACCGTTTTAAAAATGATTCTAAAGTCTCTTATTTCCCTTCCCTCACTGTACATTGTAGGAGAAATTCAGAGTTGCAGTGTTGGTGTCACAAGCTGCGCTTCAGTTTATCCATGGTAAGAAAGTCAACCTGCATGCATTTTAAAATTGTTGTAAAACTTTCAGTTTCTATATGATAAGTAAGTTTTGCTTGATTCAGGCCTAAGTTTGTCAAGTGAGTACAGAGTACCAGAGGAAGTTAAAGCTGCAGGTTTTGAAATATGTGCTGATGAGGCAGGATCAATTGTTGATGGCCGTGATGTGAAGAAGTTAAAAATTCATGGTGGGGTTGAGGGTATCACGGGCAAACTCAACTCCTCTCTCAATGATGGGGTATCAACATCTGAGCCCTTCCTGAATCGGAGAAAAGAAATTTATGGAATTAATAAGTTCACTGAAAGTCCAGCTCGGGGATTTTGGGTTTTTGTATGGGAAGCACTTCAAGATACAACCCTTATGATACTTGCGGTCTGTGCTTTTGTATCTTTAGTGGTTGGCATAATAATGGAAGGGTGGCCTAAGGGTGCACAAGATGGGATTGGTATTGTTGCTAGCATATTGCTTGTTGTGTTTGTCACTGCCACTAGTGATTACAGACAATCATTGCAGTTTAAGGATCTAGACAAAGAAAAGAAAAAAATTACCGTGCAAGTCACGCGAAATGGCTATAGACAGAAAATTTCAATATATGATCTACTTCCTGGTGATATTGTCCATCTAAATATCGGAGATCAAGTCCCTGCTGATGGGCTTTTTGTGTCCGGTTTCTCTGTGTTGATAAATGAATCAAGTTTGACGGGAGAAAGTGAACCAGTGAATGTTGGCGACCTCAATCCTTTTCTTCTATCTGGAACTAAAGTCCAGGATGGATCATGTAAGATGCTTGTGACTACTGTTGGAATGAGAACACAGTGGGGTAAACTAATGGCTACTCTAAGTGAAGGGGGAGACGATGAAACTCCATTGCAGGTAAAACTCAATGGCGTGGCTACCATTATCGGGAAAATAGGCCTGTTTTTTGCTGTAGTGACTTTCTCTGTATTGGTCCAAGGGCTATTTAGCCGCAAGCTGCAAGAAGGTTCCCAATGGACATGGTCTGGTGACGATGCTATGGAAATTGTGGAATTCTTCGCTATTGCTGTTACAATTGTTGTTGTTGCTGTTCCTGAAGGTTTACCTTTAGCTGTGACATTGAGCCTTGCTTTCGCCATGAAAAAGATGATGAACGATAAGGCACTTGTCCGTCATTTGGCTGCTTGTGAGACAATGGGATCTGCCACTACTATCTGTAGTGACAAGACTGGTACATTAACTACTAATCATATGACTGTTGTAAAAGCTTGCGTGTGTGGGAAGATCAAAGAGGTAAAGAGATCTATTGACTCTTCTGATTTCTCATCTGATCTTCCGGATTCTGCTATGGCAATTCTACTTGAATCAATATTCAACAACACCGGAGGAGAAGTTGTCAAAAATGAAAATGGGAAGATTGAGATTCTGGGATCACCAACCGAGACTGCCATTTTGGAATTTGGGCTGTCACTTGGTGGTGATTTCCTAAAAGAACGACAAGCTTCAAAACTTGTGAAAGTTGAACCATTTAACTCCATAAAAAAGCGCATGGGGGTAGTTCTTCAGCTTCCCGGTGGTGGTTACAGAGCACACTGCAAGGGTGCATCTGAAATAATTCTTGCTGAATGTGACAAATATGTAGACTCGAATGGTGAGGTTGTTCCACTTGATGTAGACTCGATCAGTCACTTGAATGATACAATTGAAAAATTTGCCAATGAAGCTCTCCGGACCCTTTGCCTTGCTTACATAGATATTCATGATGAATTTTTAGTTGGAAGTTCTATTCCTATAAATGGTTACACTTGCATAGGAATAGTGGGTATTAAAGATCCAGTTCGTCCTGGTGTTCGAGAGTCTGTAGCCATTTGTAAGGCTGCCGGTATTACTGTTAGGATGGTTACCGGTGATAACATAAATACTGCAAAGGCAATTGCTAGAGAATGTGGAATTTTAACAGATGGTATAGCAATTGAAGGCCCCGAATTCCGTGAGATGAGTGAGGAAGAATTACTTGATATAATTCCAAAAATTCAGGTACATATCAATAATGTCATTTAATCAAATTTTTTTTTTACGTTCTTGGCAATTTGCTTGAAGGATTAACTTCTTTTACCAGAGTTATTGTTTTGGTGTGCATTTCTTTTTGGGGGACCTTGAGGTACATGGATGAACTATTGTCCTGGACTTAAAAGTCTAGTTGGAGGTTGCCATAAACATGCCAATATCTGAAGTATTTACTCTCAGCAGCATATGCAAAATTTTTGTTATGCATATTCCAACTTTATATATATACTTCAAATCACAATATACTACCAAAATATTTTCTCACTAGGCGTAGTATGGATCAAAGAATGCCATAATAATGTTCAGTTGGGAATATTAATTTAAAAAGGCCGTCTAATTAGATAGATGTATGCTGCCTGCCATCAAAAGTAGAATATGATAACAAATGGACTGGGTGATGGACCATTTGAATATACTATGTGATTCTCAAAGCCTGGAAGGAAAAGTTCGGTCGTCTCCATTACCTCTACTGTAAAAATTAGCTTACGATCAACTTGCGGTATGTCTATATTTGCAGGTAATGGCTCGATCTTCACCCATGGATAAGCATACCCTAGTGAAACACTTGAGGACAACATTTGAAGAGGTTGTTTCAGTTACTGGTGATGGTACAAATGATGCACCAGCACTTCATGAAGCAGATATTGGACTTGCAATGGGCATTGCTGGAACTGAGGTATGTCTAGACCACAATCTATTGATCTTGTCTCTAAAGATTTTCTTTTCTAGAAATTTGAAAACCATGAATTATGTTTTATTTCCAAATGCTACTTGTTTGAGTCATCTAATATGCATTACTAAATGTGAATTGCTTATGATGTATAAAATGGAAAATGACACTCCATAGTTATTAGTCTAAAGCAAGTGAAGAAGTTTTTGTTCAAAGAGATGCTTTGCTTTGTATGTATATAACACTATCTTTAAAGTCTAACATTATCATTGATTGCTAGCAGATGGTCTTAGACCTTGGAATAATTGTCATGCTTGATTTGTATTTTGTATCATATTTTGTAACATTGTTATTTTGCCAATTTCAGGTAGCAAAAGAAAGTGCCGATGTAATAATTCTAGATGACAATTTTTCAACTATTGTGACTGTGGCCAAATGGGGTCGTTCAGTCTACATAAACATACAGAAATTTGTTCAGTTCCAGCTAACTGTAAATGTTGTTGCTCTGATAGTCAACTTCACTTCTGCTTGTTTGACCGGTAATCATACTTCCTTGTTATTATGTTCCTTATCAAAGTTAAATTATCAGTATTTTGCATTATGGGCCTCGTTCTGTTTTTATCATGATATATATGAAAATCCAGGAAATGCTCCCCTTACTGCGGTACAACTTCTATGGGTCAATATGATTATGGACACTCTTGGAGCACTTGCACTTGCCACTGAACCTCCTACCGATGAGTTGATGAAAAGACCACCAGTTGGTAGGAAAGGAAACTTTATCAGTAATGTGATGTGGAGGAATATCGTGGGGCAGTCCATATATCAATTCGTCATAATCTGGTTACTCCAAACTAGAGGAAAAACAACTTTTCATCTTGATGGCCCAGATGGTGATCTGATATTGAATACACTCATTTTCAATTCATTTGTATTCTGTCAGGTAAACTTAGACAATCGCTGCATTCTCACGAGTGCTGAAATTTCGCATATTAATTGTTCCAACTATGGTGATTGTGCACTTTATTAACTTAACTTGTATTCAAATGTCTTGGTAGGTTTTCAACGAGATCAGTTCTAGAGATATGGAAAGGATAAATGTTTTTGAAGGTATACTGCAGAATTATGTGTTCACAGCAGTCCTTACCTGCACAACCATCTTCCAAATTGTAATAGTTGAATTCTTGGGCACCTATGCCAACACATCTCCACTTAGTTTGAAACTGTGGTTCGTTAGCGTTTTCTTTGGAATCCTTGGCATGCCGATTGGAGCAGCTATAAAGATGATACCTGTCTAAAATAAATTCAGACAGTTAGGTACATTCTTGGTCATTCAGTTTTATCACACATAAATCAAGGTTCTTGTTTACTGTCTGTCATTTCTAAAAGATGCCAACTGAACCAAGTGTTTTCTTAGCTTGAAAATTTTGCAGGCCAACTGAGTAGAGACGAAATTTGGTATTTTTGTTGATGATGCAGAGGAGATCGATCAAACATTTTTTTTGTCAAATTTAAAAGCTATGTATATTATACGAACTAGGATTTTTGTTTAATGAGGTGCTTTTTCAGTGCACAAGGTTATAGTTTATCTTAATTTAAATTATTTATTGGCTTATTATTATTTATGAAATTATGAGGATATTCGTCTATAGTTTCGCATATTACTCTCTTTGTCACGAATGAATTGTTTCCTTGTGCATCTTCTTTAAGCATGCATGTTGGAATGGTGAGATGCAGGCAACTACTCTATTGCGACCTTCGACCTTATTAGTGAAAAAAAAACTATTTTTTTATAGATTATTATATATGAATCCGATACATTGATTATTTTATATATTTAAAAACTGTATGTTATATATATATATATATATATATATATATATATATATATATATATATATATATATATATATATATATTCTCACATCGACTATAATATGTAATTAGTAGAAAATCTCTATAAAATAGTCTCCGTAGTGCTATTAAAAATACACATTTTAGTTAAATGTCTTTTAATCTCGTATTTTAATATGGTATCCAGAGTCTATTGAGAGACAACCTTTCATTGTGCTTTACCGAGTTGGTTCATTGTCTTTCAGTGATAAATTTTTTTCGGCAAACTGTGTTCTAACTCTGATTTTCCTTCCTTTCATTAATGCGACTCTTTTCGGCATCAATTTTTTGATTACCACTACACTGCTACCGTCATTGCTACTCTTTCTGACAAACCAACACCATCGGCATAAGCACCTCTTCAAATATGATTGTTCCCTAATTTTTCACCATCAAAAGCATGCACACGCGCCACTTCCATATTTGCGTGTAGGCCTTACCACCACCACCTTAATCGCGCATGACAGTGTGTTTGGTGGATGATCTCGACGACTTTTTCATTACCTCACTCATCCTCATGTCCTTGTTCTAGATACGGTCTCAAATTTTATTTTCCAACCACAGAAAACTGTGATCGAGTTCAGACATAACCTTTTTCACTAGATTCGCGTGATATTTTCTCTCTTTAGATACTCATGGCTACTCCTCAGAGCTTTCTGCTAAACTACGATGATTTCCTTAGGTGGTATCAGAATTATCAGAGCTTAAATTCTACCGCTTCAGTTGCACACACTAGTAATTCACATGTTTGTCTTCATCAATCATTTTCTTTTGTACCTTATGTCATTGATTTCGGTGCATCTGATCATGTTATCGATAATAAAAGTCTTTTCTCTTCCCTCTTTACCTCTGATTTCTTACCCATTATAACTTCTGCTAATAGTTCTCAAACCTGGTCCGAAGGAATTGTTACTATTTAAGTTCTACCCCCCCCCCCCCCCTCTCTCTCTCTCTCTCTCTCTCTCTCTCTCTCTCTGTGTTTTCTATGTACCTAATTGTTCATTTAATTTACTCCCAGTCAGTCGTTTAACTCATTCCTTTTGATTGTATTATTACATTCACTAACAATAATGTTACCTTGCAAGACCGGAGTTCGGGACGGACGATTGGCGTAAGATGTGCATTTCAAGGCCCTTATTACCTCTTAGTATCATTTAGGACATGTCCAGCTAAAGATTCTCCGCTCACCATCCATGTTTAGTTAGGTCATCTAGGTCTTCCCAAACTACCGAAGTTGGTGTTAAGTTTATCGAAGGTATCTAATTTACATTGTGACTCGTGTTAGTTAGGAAAATACACTTGTAGACAATTTTCCAATCGGGTCAATAAATAAGTTTCGTCCCCTTTTGATTTAGTTCACTCCGACATTTGGGGTCTATTGCGTATTGTCTCTACTCTTGAGTCTAGGTACTTTATCACCTAAATTGATGATTTTTCACGTTGTACATGGTTTTTTAATGAAAAATAGATCTGAATTATTTTATATTTTTGAACAATTTTATAAAGAAATAAAAACTTAGTTTGGTATGTCTATTAGTACCTTAAGAAGTGATAATGCTCAAGAAGTGATAATGCTCGTGAATACTTATCCCAAAAATTTCAAACCTTTATGTCTAGCAATGGTATACTACACCAAACATCTTTTCCTCACACACCTTAACAAAATGGGGTAGCCGAACACAAAAATAGGCATGTCGTAGAAACCACTCAGACCCTACTTCTTCATGGTAATGTTCCACTCTGATTCTGGAGGAATGTTGTGCTAATGACACATTACCTTATAAACTGCATGCCCCCATCTGTTCTTAACGACAAAATACCTCACTTAATTCTTTTTCCCCGTTCCCCCTTCACCTAATTTCCCCTGAGTCTCCGGGTCTACATATTTTGTACATAATCCCTCTTCTAGACTTGATAAACTATTAGCTCGATCACTAAAGTATGTATTTCTTGGTTATCATCGATATCAAAAAGGTTATCGTTTCTATTCACCTACACTACAATGATACCTCATATTGGTCGATGTTACCTTCTCTGAGTCATATTTCAAGTCTAATCACGTAACTCCGAGACCTCTTCAGGAAAGTAATCCAACATCCCTTTAGGAAGTTATTAATGTCTCGTCTACCATTTTCCCCATCAGTCTATGGATCCTGACCTACTAGGTATTCCTACGGTTGACCCCCCACTTCTCAACCTCTTTATACATATCAGCATCGTCACCCAACGTCCGTTGTACTTGTCTTTAAGGTCTAAGATGTTTCTATTCTCCTATACTTGAGAGGGATAAGATGTTTTTTAAACACTTAGACGATCGTTTGTAATCTTTCAAGATTATTGGATTAAATCCTTTTTGAAGGCAAAATCATCTTGGCGGGTGGATTGGAGTAACTTAGTTAACAATGAACCAGGATAAAAATGTTTGCGTTCTTTATCTTCTTTCACTTGATTAACTATGGCGTATAAAAGTTTGAAAAGATTATAATTGGTGAAACCCAATTCAAACCCCCCTTTATTATGTTTCTCGCACCTTCAAGAAGTAGAGAGACGATCATAACTTAAAACACAAACATATTTAAAATTAGAATGATGAGATCGAAGACCTTTTCGTAATGCTATTGGAAGGTTAAGTTCAAGTGACATAATTGGAGGAGCAGGAGATGACATTTGTGGATCAATATTAACTCTAACCTTCGATGGAAGGTGTGTCTATCGCTGATAGACCTGCAATGGACATGTATTGGGTGTGAGGATGATGGAAGGGATATATCGAACATCTTAAGTACAATGTTCATTGGGTGACACAAAGACATAAAAAGAATGGGGAACTTTTAAAGAATGTAACATCGAAGAAAATAATGTATTGTTGAAGTTGAGGACAAAGTCAATGATATCCTTTATGTATATGTGAGTAGCCTAGAAAGATAAATTTGAGAGATTTGGTAGAAAGTTTGTCTTTACCTAGACTGAGGTCATGACAAAGCATGTACAACCACATACGCGGAGATGAATGGGGTAGAGATTATATTGTAGATTTAAGATAGAGTATGGAATCTGATCTTGAAGGACCAATGAAGACATTCGGTTGATAAGGTGACAGGTTGTAAGGAAAGCATCACCCCAAAAATGAGAGGGTACATTATGTTGAAGTAAAAGAGTCATTGCAATTTCAACTAAATGGCAATTCTTCTCTTTAGCGACGTCGTTTTATTGTGGTGTATAAGCACATGATGTTTGGTGAATAATTATATATGATTTTAAAAAGGCTTGAAACTAGGATGGCATATATTCACAAGCATTTTCAGTGCATAAAACTTTAATGGAAGTGTCAAACTGGTTTTAATTTCAGCATAAAACTCTTGCAATATATGGAAAACATTTGAACGATTTTTTTATTAGAAATAACCAACTACATTGTGAGAAATCATCGATGAAAGTAACAAAATAATAATATCCTAAAGTTGACTTGACACGACTAGGACCCCAAATATCATAATGAACTAAAGAAAAAGGTGATGCAACACTTTTATGTACTCGTAGAAAATAAGTGCTAAGAGTATTTTTTTTCTAATTGACACGAATGATACTCAAATGATGAAAGCTTAGAAAAAATAGGAACTAAAAGTCGCATTTTATTAAGGCTAGGGTGACCCAAACATTAATGTGTAAGGTCTTGAGAAGCAATAGAAGAATAAGCCGCCGATGGAGATAGATGATATAATCCTTCAAAATCACTTCCTGCTCTAATCACCCGTCATGTTTGTTGATCCTGGACTTAAACAAAATTATCATTAAAAATGACTGAACAATCAAGAGTACGAGTGATCTTGCTAACAAATATTAAATTAAAAGGACAATTAGGAATGTAAAGGACATAATCTAAAGAAAGTTTTGGAAGTTGGTGTTCTTGATCAAGGCTTTGAACTTTGATTTTAGGGTTATCCGCATAGTGACAGAAGTCAAAGAACCAATACAAGACAAGTGAGATAAAAGGGATTTATTACTTGTTATTTGATCAAAGGCACCGGAGTTAAGGACCTAAGGACCAAGAGAGGATGTATAAACAAAGACTACATGATTACCAGGCTGAGCAACAACGAAAAATGATGATGGTTGATTGTCTGTTTTGAATTGAATGAAATTATTGTAATCAATGGTGGGAATAATAACGTCTTTAGTGATCGTCGGTTAAGAAATGACAGTGACCCGTGGTTGTCGTTGTTGTTCTCTTGCCTTTGTACGACAATCAATTTCAATGTGACAATAATGATTTCAATAGTTACAATGAATACCATGGCAGTGACCACCGCGTCCCCCGGTTTGTCCACCATGATCATGGTAGGTGGGAAGCAAGAGCAAATAATTCAGTGGAAAATGGAGTATAAACTAGTCCAAAAACATGAGGTGTAGCCAATCGCAACAGTTGTTCACTAACTACCTCATAGTTAGGAACAATTGATCAAGATAAAATTTGGTTACGAATGACGTCGAGTTCTGGTGGTAGTCCGACAAATGCCAAGATCATGAAATACTTATTGCATTGTTCAACATGACTTATTGCATATGTTGTAAAAGGAATTAGGGTTACAAAATTTTCCTTCAACACATCAAGCTTATTCAAATAGGTTTGCATATCCATATTCTTCAATTTCAAAGAGTTGAGTTTGAGGATGACACTATAAAGATTATGAACATCGTTAGAGAATACTTTCTTAGCCTTTTTTCAAACCTCATAGCAAGTGGTAAATACTTGGTAATGTGCTTGGAGATTATTTGCTATGGAAAACCATAACACCATGCATAGAGAAGTATCAATTTGTTTATACTTATCACGTTTAGTGGTGGGAATATTATCTGAATTTGTTGTTAAGTGGTCTTTATATCCTTGACCTTGAAACCACATTTTAACAACACCAACCCATATGTTGTAGTTGGATGTCCCAGTTAGTTTCTCACATGGGATAAGCAGAACCTTAGTAAACGTGATAAAATCTATGTCTCCCATGAGAGTTGATGGTTTGAGATGAAAAACTGAGTACATATATGGAAATAGGGTAGGATCGCGATGTCGACGATGAAAAATGAAACGGATAGGGCTTTCGGATGCGCTGTCACATGCGGCTGGAGCGATGGTGCGTTAGATCCACGCGCAAAAGAAGGAGCGGCAAATGGGAAGGCGTCCAAAGGCCAAATTTTGGGGACGAGATGATCTGGAGGAGGCAATTCTGGCGGCATAGGTATCTCTTTGGAAGATCGTCGAGAGCGGCAACGCTAGTAACGAAAGTGGGTCAACCAGCTCTAGATATCATGTTGTGATTGTATTTATGTGTGTCGAATATGATCACCCATACTATATGTTTATATGCAAGTACGGTTATACATAATAGGTAATAATCTAGTTAGTCTTATGACTAATTGAATATCAATTATTATTAATTGATTTCTAATAGATTCTTAACAACAGCCAATGGATACACTCATATTTTTGAGTTGGATTATAGTGATACTTTCTCTCTTATAGCTAAGATGACATTAGTTAGAATTCTTCTTTCCATTGCAGCCAATCGACATTGACCTCTTCATCAACTTGAATAAAAAAAAATGCATTTTTACATGGTGATCTTGAAAAGGAAGTATATATGGAGCAACCTCCTGGGTTTGTTGCTTAGGGGGAGTCATCAATTATGTTTTGTAGGCTACACAAGTCTTTTATGGTCTTAAGCAATCTCCGAGAGCTTTGCTTGAAAAATTTAGCACTATCATATAGCAATTTGGCATGGTATGTAGTGAAGGTAACCATTCTGCATTTTATCGTCACTCAATCCAAGGATGTATTTATCTTATTGTATATGTAGATGATATTATCATAACTGGTAGTGATCAGCAAGGAATACTCCAGTTGAAACAACATCTTTCGAATCAATTTCAGACAAAAGATTTTGCTAAACTCCACTATTTTTTGGATATTGAGGTAACTCAATCTAAAAATGGTTCGGTGATTTCTCAGCAGAAATATGCTATGGATATTTTGGAAGAAATAAGTTTGTTGATTGCTAAACCAGCTGATACTTCTATAGATCCAAGTGTTAAACTCCTACTCAATTAGGGGGAGCCTCTATCTAACTCAGGAAGATATAGGAGATTAGTTGAAAAGTTGAATTATCTCACGGTCATTCGTCCAGACATTTCTTTTATAGTTAGTGTGATAGGCCTGTTCTTAATTCACCTTGCCAGGAACACATGGATGTTGTTATCCAAGTTCTGAGATACATCAAATGTGCTCCAGGAAAAAGACTTGTGTATGAAGATAAATGACATACTCAGATAGTTGAATACCAGGATGATGATTGGGCAGGATCACCCAGTGATAGACGATCCACCTCTCGTATTGTGTACTTGTTAGGTGAAACCTTATATCTTAAAAAAGTAAGGAATAAAATGTGGTTACAAGATCAAGCACCGAGACGAAGTATATGGTCATGGAAAAGGCAACATGTAAACTCATTTAGTTAAAACAATTGCTCATGGAATTTAAAATTGAAGAAGCAAGACCAATGTCACTTATTTGTGATAATCAAGTTGCATTGCACATTGCTTCAAATCCAATTTTTATGAGAGAACCAAACATATTGATATATTTATACTCTCCATAGTGATATTTAACTGGTTATAATTTAAAAAAACACAATCACATAGAATATAAAAAATGATCATTTTCCCACAACTACAATTGCATATCAAAATAATCTGTAAAATTACTTCAAATATATAGTATAGTGCTTCTTTTAATCACATAGAATATGAAAAATGATCAAATTTCCACAAGTACAACTGCCTACAAAAAATGTGTTCTTTTTAGTATGATCTTATAAATTTAAATTCGATATTATATTTTACAATTTTGTTATTCCTCTTGATCTTACAAAAATAGTCGGGTAAGAATCTTCTGATTTCCATTACGATTTTATGTTTTACAATCTTATTATATCCTCTCTAATCTTATGCAAGATCTCGATCTTAACAACTTAAATAGATCAAACGTAGAAAATCATGTCATCCAAGTTGAATTAGTTTAAGATTTAAGATTGGAGATTAAAGTTTCTGGTAACACACAATAAAATTTTCATATCAGTTTGCACTCATTATGGATGACTGTGTCTGTATATCAAATTTAAATGAAAAACAAAATTGATGTTACATGTTTCTCCTACAATCTAGCAGTAAGTAAGAGTGAAAAAAAGCTTGAATCTATTGCTTAGCTTGAAAGCATAACCAACAGAAAAACACTTTTGATTCAACAAACATCTGAGTTTCATGACCCATGAACACAAGAAAGCCAGGCAAAACGGTAGGTCCCGCCTCAAAAGCAGCCTCAAACATTCAAACAAATCCAATCAATCTTTACAAGACATTTCTGATGGCTAATATGAAACACAAACCATGCATCCTATGACACCAATACTGTTTTTCTTTTCCCACTTTCACCCTTTTTCATCACATTTCTAAACAAAACCATTACCAAGAAAATCGCGATTAGTTTAGTCTACCCGGAGGACTAATGCGATTATTTGCAAGATCAAACTATATTAACACTTCAATTTACCTGTTAATTTGAGCAATCCAACTACTAAATGTATCCGAAAACCCGAGTTTTCTTTTCCTCGCTATTCCTCATTTGTAACAACCAATAAATCCAAAACTATTTTCAGTCTTGTAACAATCAAAACCTTTCTCTATCTCTCTTGATGATATGATACTATAACAAAAAGTAACCAAGGACAATACATAATCTTCAAATAAAACTGTTAAAACTTCAAAAAAGTTCAAGTTTTGGGATCTTCTTGATGTGGACCCTTCTTGTCGCCACCATCTTCATCATCAATGAATGAAAGTCTTCTTCTCTTTGTCATAGAAACGGCATAGTCAATTGTTCTAGGTCGGATAACCGATGAATTCGGTGTATACAAATACTCCTCTCTTTTCATCTTCTCCTCGTATAATCTCTGAATTAGATTGTAGCAATCAAAAACATCATTCTGTATAGTGCAAAAACAAAAGGCAAAATTGATTGGTTAATCAATAACATCAACATGTTCTTTTTCTAACTATGATTTTAGTGATACAAAAACTCACCGGTTCAATTTGCAAAATCGAATTCATTTTCAACCTTACATCTTCTACTGTCAATGTTTGATCCAATGCCAACAACGTAGCCGCTGCTGCAACAACAGATGGTTTGTGATCCATTAGATTGAACCCTGCATAAGAAATTCACATCTTCTAATGAAAATTTGGTAAAGTTATCAAAAAGTGAAAACACATTCAAGTGTTGATGATTGATTCACCTTCCATAATTACAGTGAAGATACGCTGCATTGTGTCGGAAACAATCAGACTTGATGTGGAATCATTGCCGAACTTTTTGACGAAGTAAGAAAGGAATGAAAAGGGAGTAATGATACTCATGTTCCAATCCAATGTGGTAAGAACCAAAAGTTCCATTTTTTGAACCACTTTTCCTTGAAAGAAATAACAATCTTCCAATTGAAACTTTGATAGCTCCGGCACATTGCATTCTTCCATCTTTGCAGCCAAAGAAAGACATGCAATTGATAGCAACCTTATCGCCCAATTCTTCTCCGCCTGCGTAAAATCGAGAAAGAAAACAAATCAACCAAAAGGGCAAATCAATCAATTAAATGTTGCATTTGGGAATATCATAATTTGAACTTACATCAATGTATCGTTTGGTAAGGAACTGATCAAAGTAAGTCACAGACAAATAAGCAGTTTGAAAGTGAAAATCCAATGCATCTGTTATCTGAAGTAAATTTCCACCATCGAAAACCAGAAAACATTAAAATCAAAATTAAATTTTTATAAATTTTTATCAATAGCTGTTTCATAAATGATAAGCTAGAAATGCTAAAAGAGAAAAAGGTATATAGATAGATTGAAAGATAGATGAACAAACTTTGAAAATCCAATTGATTGCATTGAAACGAGCACGTTTCAAGGACTCATCAAACACCAAAACTCCATCTTTTTTGAAGCCAAAAGAAATCTCTTTCTGAATCAATAACTCCACATGCTCTTCCTCTGATACACCAAATTGATGCTGTTGCTGTTCTTCATCTTTCAGTTGATCCATGTGTTGAATTATGGTTGGAAAGTGAAGTTTGAAATCAAGAAAACATGTTAGCAAATTTATATATGATAATGATAGTAAATGATTGACTAGAACATTAAGTAGTACAATAAAAAGGAAAATGAAAATGAAAATGTTGTGGCTATGTATGATTTGGGAGGTGAAAATTGAAAAGATTGATGTTTTGGAAGATTTTGGAGATTTTTTGAAGCAATGTAGAGAGAGTGATGAGGCTTTTATTTGAGTTTGACTGAAATAAAATAAGACTTTGCATTTTGGGAACACACAAGTTTTTTTTGTGTGACAACACTGTCTCTTGGAGCGCGTGGATACCAACTCATCTTATTATATGTTAGAGGAATAAATATTTGTGCTTTTAATTTAAATTTCTTATAAGTAATAAAAGTTTTGTTTTTCTAGATAAATTTAATTTATGGATTGGTTTGAACCAGTTTTGGTCAAATTTATTATTTAATTCAATAAATTTTATTGATTTGAGTTGGGTTAAAATTTATGCTTTTCACAATAAATCTAAATCAATTCAACCATGAATGAGTTGGTTTTGGTGATTAAATTTATGAAAAATAATAATTTTAAAAAAAAGTATAACAAAATTATAATTTTTTATTATGAAAATTTTGAAACTTAAATTATATTTTATAAAGAGTGTTTATGTATTGATTTGAATCGATCAAATATGTTATTCAATAAAATAAATTTTATTGACTTGAGTTGTATTAAATTTCATATTTTTCATATTAAATTCAAATCAACTCAACTCATAGTTTTGGTTATTAAATTAATTTTTTAAGGAACAATTATTTTAACTTTTAGAAAAATAATTAAAAACAATTTATTATAAAAAATTTAAAATTTAAATATAAAATTTTTATTTTTTATTTAAACTAAAAATAGTGAGCACTCTGGAATTCAAGTGTATATTTGTGACATGTGTTGTTCAAATACATTATTATTTTTATGAATTTAACTGTTATCCACTAACAATATAAAATTATTTTACACTGTTATCCAATAAAAATATATTATTCTACTATGTTATATAATTATTTCAAAAGTTTTAATATGACTTGACGGGATGCATAGTCATCATTAGTTGATAGTGTAAAAAATATTTACACGGTCCTTTTTTTTATTTTTATTTATGATATTCATTTTTAAATACAATATGATTTTTTTTTACTCAAGCTAAATACAATATGATATGATATGCTTAGGGTTGTTAAAAAAATAACTCAACTATTACGTTTGGTTAATAAACCAAATTATATTGCATTTGAACTAAATCAAAATTGAAATTAAATAAAACCTAAACAGTAATCGAACTGAAATTGAAAATGAAAAATATTTTTAAAAATTTTTAAAATAGTTTAACGAATGATTCAATTTGGGATAAATTAATTTCTAATGAATCGATATAATTCAGAATTTTGAAACAGTATATCAAACCAATATTATGATTCAATTTGATTTCAATAAATTAAAACAGTTTAATTTAATTCAAGTATGATTTTTTTTAAATTTAATTCCATTCGATTTAGTTTTTTCACTTACCATACTGATTTTACCTGATCAGAAAGGAGTCAGTAGTCTGCCACGCGTTGTGAGTTGTTGTCTTCACTAGTGGAGTGGAGGAGAAAAGGAGGTGTGCTTGCAAGATGCTCAAATGCTTAAGTGAGTAACGGAACTAGAGAGTGCAAGTACAGAGAAAAGGTGTAGTAAATAGAATACCTGACTCTCTAGTGAAGGAGGGTATTTATAATGTGTCCCCAGCGCAGGGCCAACGGTTATATTGCATTGAGCCGGATTGCCAAGCCCAACACAAGTAACTGTCAGGGCTTACGTGGCGTAGTGAAGACCAACATGTGGTCTTCTCCCTGGATCAACTGTCCCATGATCTTCAGAAGGTGGACTGACCATCTCTTTTGGAAGTGGGTAGTTGCCTAATGACATGTCTCCGCGTGGGGGACACATGGAGAACGTGGGGAAAGCGCGTGAGCTCTCCCCGTGCCAACTACTAGTCTCCCCAACTGAGGGGCCTTGTTGGGAGGCATGCCCGACATGGATGGTTGAGCTTTGTTAGGCCTCATCAGCATAGTATTGGGTTGGGTCTGCCCGTCTGAGGGGCAGGTCCCGGCCCAGTCCAGAACAAGAGCCCCATAAGTCGTTGCTCCTAGGTGGATGAGTAATGACTTAAGGGCAGGTCGAAAATGTCGAGGACCTCTTTGGGGGAAAGTATTTGCCCAACTCATAGAATTGGGAGTCGTGTACCAGGTCGGGAGCGAAGGATGCTTGACGGGACAACATGTTAGGGAGATGGACAGCGCGAAGGATATGCCCACTCTCCTAGCTCGAAAGAGAGACGAATGGATGTGAAGCTTCTGGTGCTGCCATGTGTCAGACAATCATTGCTTAGCTAGGACGGTTAGGGGTAGGATCGTTTGAGTGCCTAAGGACACCTCGAGTTTCGTGCTAGGCTTATAAATAAGACCGAGTCTGCTTCATTTCTCACTTTTCGCTTCTACCGTTCAAGACGCTTCCTCTTCTTCTCGTTCAAGCTTCTCAACTTTCAGCACCGAGACGTCCGCCGCACGCCACCGTATCGTCCTCCCAGAACCGTCGTACCAAGTAAGTCTTCGCTGCCCTACCTTTGCTTTTCCTGTTTTCTGGCGGTTTCTCTGGTGGACTTCATGAATGCCCCGGGGAGACCGTGGAGTTTCTGGCGAATACGCCGAGACTTCTTTGAATTGGTGTAGGGTTAGGATGAAGGTCTCAGGGACAAGCGATGAAGCCCTCGAGAATGTAGGATATTTTTGGATGAATCTTCCATGGACAAACGATGAAGTCCCCGAGGACGTAGGTTACTTTGCACGAACTTCCCGGGGACAAGCAGCAAAGTCCCTGGGGATGTAGGATAGTTTGCACGAACTTCCCAAGGACAAGTGCTGGAAGTCTCGGGGGTTCGCTCTCGTCTGTCGAGGCGGGAGAGGCCATGTCTGTAGGGGTCTCCCCTCTTCGCTCTTTACTTAATCTGTGGTGGAAGGGTGGATTTGATCTTGAATATCAAATTCACCGGTTTCCTCTACTTTTCAGGTGTAAATGGATGCTTGGGTACATGGTATTATTGAAACTGATGACGAGCCAGACTCCCCAATGGCACAAGCCAGTGAAGAGCAAAGAAGGTCTGTCGCAGATTGGGCTGGGGAGGAACCCCTAAGTGTCCCTTCTCGCTTTGTCGTGGATGAGTTTGGCGCTTATGCCAATGTTGAGGACCGTCGTGAGGGTTCCCCATGAACTAGAAGGTATACAAACCACGAGCAAACCACCGAATATGCTCGGCATATAAGAGGATGAGGTTTTCCATGCATGAGTTTACCTTTCAGGAAGCGAGATTGCGTCTTCCCTTCACCGAATTCCAACTAGGATTTTTTGAATGGCTTCGGCTGTCGACCTCGCAACTACATCCTAACGCGATTGCGTTCATGCAGGTGTATGAGCTCGTCTTTCGACCTCTCAACATCGGGGCCACTCTCACCCTTTTCTTTTGCATCTTCCACCTTCAAAGACAAAGGCTCGATGGTCGACACAACTGGGTGTCCTTGAAGCAACCGAGGAGGCTTTTTCAGGTGTACATGGATTCCATCTGAAATTTCAAGGTCCGGTATTATGTTGTCAAGCCCATCACTCACACGATCTTGGACTCTCTTTTCAACCTCGAGGTTCGGGAAAAAGACGGGCAGTCTGAGGAAGTCTTAGTGCCGACGATTCCACTGATTTAGACGGAGGAACACTTCGACAAGGGCACGGACAACTACATAGTCCGGGAGGCTCGTTGGATGCCGACGACCGGGTGGCTTACTAGAAGCTGGTCGCTTTTGTGGCTAGTTTTACCCATGCAAAGTGCGTGACGCCGGACGAGAATTTTATCCTCGACTCACACGGGGAGATTCTTAAGGAGTCGTGATTGATCAATACGAGGGTCCTCCTCGAGTGTGAGCCCGATGAGGAAGCCCTGCGTCTCTTAGGTAGTGGGTCCGCTTTTCGCTTGGACCTTGTATGTGCATTAGTTGTTGGTTTGTTTTGCTGACTTTGTTTATATTTCTTTTGCAAGAGAGATGTCGAGCATGCACAAGTGTGTGAAAAGGTTGGAGACCAGCAGGGGCGCAAAGAAATCTGGTAAGGGGAGGGTTGCCCAAGTACAGTAGATGCTTGGTCCCGACCAGGGGCCCGATGGCTCCTCTTCTTCCCCCCAAGGCAGCCAGTCCCCCTTCTCGCAGGGGACACCTAAGAGACCGCGGGTTAGTGAGCCCGATACCGTCGACCTCACTGAGGATAGTGTCGAGGAGAGGTTCTTGCTCCCACCCTGTTATCTGCAACTCGCTTTCTTTTATGGGGCCAACTCCCCAGTGGTGCGTTCCGCGGAGACCAAAGTCATCTTAGGCAATGATCGAAAGACGAGGAAGAAGGCTCTGACAGAGGATCTGGCCGCGGTGATGCGAGTTTTCGAGATAACTCTGGTTCTTAGTGATAAGGCTTGCTCTTCAGCCGACCTCTCCAAATTGAAGGATGACCTTGTGACCGTCGAGGCAGAGAGGAACAAGTTGGCTGCTGATTTCGTCCAGGCTAAAGAAAATAGTGCTGCCCAACTTAGCCTCCACAACAAGGTGGAAAAGAAGTTGAAGGCCGCAGGTGAAGAGAGGACGAGGCTCTTGGTACAGATTGCAGAATTGGAGGCGAATTTCTAGCCTACAGAGGAAGAGACTTTCGAGGAAAATCTCATGGTGTCTCGGGTGGCTCTGGTGTCGAGGATCTGGCAGCTCGAGCAGGATTGCTTGAGGGCTCTCGAGGTGGGCTATGACAGTACCGTGGAGCAACTCTGGGTCGTAAACCTGGACGTCCCGTTCATCACTGAAGGGACGAGGCCCTTCCATTAGGTCGTCGAGGGTCGCGTGGTCGCACTGGGAGTTGAGGAGGAAGACGAAGAC